TGACCCCCCGCGCCCCATGTGGTCCCTGACCCCACTGGTTGGGTGACACAAAACACCCCCCCCCAAAAAAAACTGGACTCTAGGATCCCTTGAACGCTGGATTCCGGGATCCTCCCCCTCCTCTCGGCACTGCCTTCCTGGGCTGGAGACGGGTCACCTTCCCCTCCTACAGACGGGCACTCTGCCCCCACCATGAACCCTTGGCATCCCCCCAGCCTGCCTCAGCCCCTGCCTGGCCTAGGTCAGCTGGGAATGAACTCCCAGAAGGACGGGAGGAAGGGCTGGGGGGCTTGGACTCGCCCCCCCCCGACATGTCCCCGATTGAACTCCTGTCTCCCCCCACACACACACAGCAGCCACACCACCACCCCCTCGCCCCAAGCTGGAAGCGTCTGGAATCTTCCTGGTTCCTCCTTCTGCTTCACTCCTCTAACTCACCAGACCCACATTCTGACAACTTCATCTCAAAGGTTCTCAGATCCGTCCTTCCCTCCTGCCCCCCCCCCCCCCAGCAGCTTCCGGGCGTGTCCTCTGCACTCTGACACATCCCAGGTGGTCTGCCAACACCTCCCCTGAGCCCCACACTGACCCTGACCCCCCGCCTGGAGCCCACACTGACCCTGACCCCTCCCCAGTCCCCACACTGACCCCGACCCCCCACCCGGGCTTTGCCCTTCAACCCACTTTTTTTTTAATTATTATTTTTATTAGTGAAACACCATGAGGTACAATTGTAGGGTTACAGATTTTTGTGCTTGGGTTTCAGTTATACAATGATTGAGTACCCATCCCTCAACCCAGACACTTCTACCCCTGCACTCTGGCCTCACCTCCTGGGAGAACCCCTAAAGGCAGCACTGGAGTCCAGCCCCTGTCCTGGCCATCTGTCTCCTGTTCCCTGGACCTGCCCTCTGGTTTGGGGTCAGAGCGGGAACGGGGTCTCAGTCACCCTGAGCCTGGCATCTGGCCAGCAGCTCCGCAGCTGCTCTGAAGGTACGTTCCGGAATGTCGGATCCCGGAGCCCACCTTCCTCAGGGTCTCCCCAGCCTGGGCTCCCTGTGGATGAACCCCGGGTGGTGCTGGATCAGGCTGGGGTCTTGGCCACCCCAGGCAAAGGCAGCAGCAGGCCGGTGTGAGGATTGCAACAGAAGGCCTGAGGTGCGAGGGTGCCTTCCCCCCACCCCGGGAGAGGGACCCCTGGGTGTGGGCAGGAGTCCTGCCCGGTCTCTGGCTCATCCCTCTGCGTCCCCTCCCAGCCTCGGAGCCCTGGGCTGGAGCTGGAAGGCGAGACTCGGCCAGGGCCTTGCCTGTGTGAGACTGTGTACGTATAAATACAAGTGCGCACTGGGTAAGCCTGCAGGTGTGTGCACACGTATGGGAGTGAGTACAGAGTGTGTGTGGGAGGGGTGAGGCAGAATGTGTGTATGTGTGTGGGTGTGTGCAGATGAATGTGTGCATGTGTGTGGGTACGTGTGCGGATTGAATGTGTGCACGTGTGTTGGCGTGTGTGCAGTGAATGTGTGCATGTGTGTGCAGGTGAATGTGTGTATGTGTGGTTATGTGTGCAGGTGAATGGGTGCACACGTGTGTGTGTGCGAGTGAATGTGTGCACGTCTGTATGTGAATGAGTGCATGTGTGTGGGTGTGTGCAGTGAATGAGTGCACGTGTGTGAATAAGTACATGTGTGAGTGAATGAGTGCACGTGTGTGCAGGTGAATAAGTACGTGTGTACGGGTGAGTGAGTGCTTGTGTGTGTGGGGTGAATGAGTACACGTGTGTGTGCGGGTGAATGTGTGCATGTGTGTGGGTGTGTTCGAGTGAATGAGTACACCTGTGTGTGAATGAGTGCAGGTGTGTGGGTGTGTGCAGTGAATGAGTGCATGTGTGTATGTGTGAATAAGTGCATGTATGTGGGTGTGAGGGTAGATGAGTGCATATGTGTGTGCGGGTGAATGAGTGCATTTGTGCATATGAATGAGTGCATGTGAGTGGATGTGTGCAGTGAATGAATGCACGTGCGTGGGTGTGTGGATGAATGAATGTACTGCCTTTGTGTGCTTTGGCATGTGTGCACACGTGCTGTGAGTGAAGTAGCGCACATATATGAGTGTCCCTGTGTGCAGGCATGTCTGAGGGAGCTCCGTCATCAGTGCACACGAAAGAGCCCGCTATTCCCAAGGGAGGCAGCAGGGCAGGGAGATGCTGGGTGGGGGATGTGCAGTCCCTTGCCTACAGCCGGAGCAGGAGCAGTCCCCGTAGGACAGGTGCAGGAGACAGGGCCGGGCTGCAGCTCTGAGCTGCTTCCAAGAAGAGGACACAGCGCTCAGCTCACCAGCTGCCCAGTGGACCTGCGGCCTGGGGAGACCCCGCTCAGCCGAGCCCTGTCCAGCGGAAGTTCACCCGGTCAGCTGTGAGCCTCGATCCCACTGGAGGGACTCTGACGGCTGCTCCTACATATGTGCATGTGTACACTGAACACACATGCACAAGCACACACTCACACCTGAGCACTGCACATGTATGGGCACACACGCACATGCCTGAGCACATATCTAATCGCATGTGGACTGGAATATCCAGCCCAGACACCCTGATGCCTCAGCATGCATCAGCTGGGACATGACCCCGGAACAGCTGGGCACCTGCAAGAAGCACTGGGGTCCAGCTGTACTGACCTGTAGTGTCTTCCCATTCACTGGCCCCCATGCCCCTCCCAGAGCTAGCAATGATGGAGGTCCCAGACCCCTCCGGGATACGCCCCCTCCCGCCCTTCCCCCCACCCACTGTAAGCCCCTCCTCAGCGCTTTCATTTCTATGACTTAATTTCACTGCACACCCAGCAGTGCAGGCTGGGTGCGACCAGGCATGTGCACCCCGGCTGGCTGGAGCTCTGCCCCTGTTCCCCCGCACCCAGCTGCCCTTCCCCCATCCAGCTCCGGAGGCCGCGCCCTTCCCCAGTGCGATGCGAGCTGGAAGAAGCTGATTGCTACATTTTGCAGGAATTTACAAGCTGCTGTTAACACAGGGCCTAGGTGAAGGTTTAAATGATACAGACTTACAATTAAATAAAAGGCATTAGGCACAAAGTAACGGGAGGCAGAACCCGCTAGGCCCGCGTCTCCCCGCCCAGCTCGGGAAGCCGGCACCTGTGAGGCCTCCCAGAGGGTGGACCTAAGACCCCCAACCGCCCCCCTCCAGCGCTGGACCCAGGCCCCGTGGAAAGACCTGGGTGTCCACGTAGGAAGACCCCCCACCCCCACCTACAACCGGCAGCTGGGAGGTGCCCTCTGGGGAACCTTTGAATACTGCGAAAGGCTGCCTGGCAAGCAGGACCGGCTGTCCCCTGACCGCCAGGCTGGCAGGGACAGGACAGAGTCGCCGCGGCGCGCCTCGGGCCGGCCGGGCCAATTATCTCCCGCAAACACGGGCCACCGCAGCATCGCACCCCTGCCCGTGGCCGGGGACCCTCGTCCTCACCCCGTCTCACCCTGTTCTCTGGGAGGGGGCGCCTGCCGCGCAGGGGCGGGGAGGGTCCCGGCGGGTCCCTGAGCGCCAGGCCGGGCGTGCGGGGGCGGCCGCGGGAGTCTGGGGAAGCCGCCGTCTGGCGCGGGCGCCGGGAACCCCGCGCCGCCCCCCGGACGCGCCGGGCCTGACCGTGCGGTGCCCACGGACCTGGCGCGCAGCCCGGGCCAGGCCGGAACTGGATTCCCCGCGCCGAGCCCCGCGCCGCCTCCCAGGAATAAGGCGCAAAGCGGGGCGCGGGTGCGGGTGCGCGCCCTGAGAGAAAGAACATCCGAGACCCGCACAGCGTCCCCCCCACCCCACCCCCCGCCTCCCGCTTTGGGTGTGGACCCCGCCCCCACATCCGGTTGGCCCGGAGCCCGCCCCCCAAACCCCCGCCCACGCCGGGACCCTCACTCGCTCCTGGACCCCTCCCGCGCCCGAACCCCCACGCCTGGATTCCCTTCCCCCACGCCGGGACCCTCACACCTGGACCCCACCCGCTCCGAGCCTCCTCATGCCCACCCCCTCCCCCAAATTGGACCTCGTCCCTGGGGTCCGGATACACCCCGGCGGGAGCCACGGTTCCAGAACACCTCCCCACGAAGGTGGGCCCCCGGCGGCCAGACGCTCTAGCGCGCAGGCACACACGCGGGGACACGCGGGGACACGCAGAATCGGGCAGAGGAGGCTGCGCGGGACCCCCGGGGAGTCCCGCGTGTTCCCCGGCTCCCGCCCCGCGGCGCCCCACTCCGGCTCCGGTCCGGAAGGCTCGTCCTCCCGGGCGCTTTCCGAGAAGTCGCTCCGCCCGCCCGGAGCCGTCCCGGGGGATTGTGCCCGGTCCCCAAGGCCCGCAGCGGGGGTGGGGCGGGAGAGCGAGAAGGGGGTGCACCGGGCGGTCTTGGTCTCGGGGCGGGGGCGCCGAGGCCGCTTCACCCCCCACAAGCGCGAAGGGGCGGGGGGCCTCGAGCCCCGCTTGGGCTTGGGGGAGGGGGCGCGAGCCCCGGTCCCGCGCGCTCCCTGCCTCGCGAGGAGTGGGGGGTCGAGCCCTCGGGGACCCCTCGCGGCCGTGAGGGCCCGGGCGGCCGAGGTCCCGCGGGTGTCCAGGCCAGCGAGTCAGCGGGAGCCGGGGGTGGGGGGGCGGCGGGGCGCGGCGGGCGCCCCTCCCGCGCCGGGCGCCGAGCGCTTTCGGGGAAGCGGCGCGGGGGCGGCGCGGCGCGGGGGCGCGCGGTTGGGCAGGGGCGGGCGGGCGGGCGAGTGCCGTCCCTCCCGCCGCGGCCGCACGACCCCCGGCGAGCCGCGCGGCCCACAATTAAAGCGGGATTCCTCCCCCGCTGACGTCGGCGGCGCCCGGGCCCCTCCCGCGGGCATAAAAGGCGCGCGCTCCGCAGCGCAGGCGGCAGTGGGGGCCGGACGGCGGCGTGCGGGCAGCGCCGGGCAGCCGCGCTCCGCCGGGCAGCCCGCTCCGTGCCCGCGCCCCGCGCCCCGCGCCCCGCGTCCCGCGCCCCGCGCCCCGCGCCCCGCGCCCCGCGCCGCAGCCATGCCGGCCGGCCGTGCCGCGCGCACCTGTGCGCTGCTCGCCCTCTGCCTGCTGGGCAGCGCGGCCCAGGATTTCGGGCCGACGCGCTTCATCTGCACCTCGGTGCCCGTGGACGCCGACATGTGCTCCGCGTCCGTGGCCGCCGGCGGCGCCGACGAGCTCCGGACCAACGTGCTGCAGCTCCGCGAGACCGTGCTGCAGCAGAAGGAGACCATCCTGAGCCAGAAGGAGACCATCCGCGAGCTGACCACCAAGCTGGGCCGCTGCGAGAGCCAGAGCACGCTGGACACGGGCGCCGGCCGCAAGCCCGCGGCCTCGGGCAAGAACACCATGGGCGACCTGTCCCGGACGCCGGCCGCCGAGACGCTCAGCCAACTCGGGCAAACTTTGCAGTCGCTCAAAACCCGCCTGGAGAACCTGGAGGTCCGCGCGCGCCCGGCGCCCCCGCCCCGGCCCCCGCGCCCCGCCGCCCGCCTGCTCCCCGCGCGCCCGCCCGCCCCCCACCCCGCACCCCTCGCCGCGCGCCGGGCCGCGGGCGCGTAACGGTCTGCTTTCCCCGCCCTTGCGCCCCGCAGCAGTACAGCCGACTCAATTCCTCCAGCCAGACCAACAGCCTTAAGGATCTGCTGCAGAGCAAGATCGATGACCTGGAGAGGCAGGTGCTCTCCCGGGTGAACAGCCTGGAGGAGGGCAAGGGGGGCGCCAGGAATGACACGGAGGAGAGGGTCAAGATCGAGAGCGCGCTGACCTCGCTCCATCAGCGCATCAGCGAGCTGGAGAAAGGTACCCGGGAGGCGGGCTGGGGCCGCGGGGGTTCCCCGGGGCGGCCGGGAAGCCCGGCCCGCCCGCGCCCCCCGCCCCGGGGCTTGGCCAAGTGGCGTCTGTGCGGTAACTTTGCGCCGGGCGCGCAGGGGCGGGGGGCGGGCTCCGGCGGACCCGAGCAGGTGTCCCTCCGGCTCCTCGGCGCGGGCGCTCCCGGCCCAGACCCCGCTAGTATTGCCCGCGGTTTGCTCCCGGCCCGCGCGCTCCAGGGCGCGTGGATAAGCCAAGGCTGCGGAGCGGGGAAGTCGGGGGAAATCAAACACGGTTGTAAAAGGGGGGAGGGGTCTCCGGGCCCAGAGCGGCGCCACGTGACCCGCCCCGCCCGCCGGTGGTGCGGGTCGGGATGCACAGTGCCATCTTAAGGCGCCTTATGTAACTGAAAGGCAGCTTTGGGCCCTGCCAGGCAGGGACGCGGCGGCGGGAGGGAGGGGGCAGTGGAGCTGGGATGAGGACCCCTCCCCCCAGGGGTCTACCTGCCCCGCTCCTGAGGCCAGGTCGGAGAAGGTGTGGCCCTGGTCTCTGAGGGCTCCGTTCCCGATTGATTCTCAGCGAGTGGGCGGGTGCTGGCCCTGCAGAGCGCCTTCTAGAAACAGCGCTTGGCCCGAGGGGCTGGTAACTGCCCGCTGGTGTCCCTGCCCGCTGTAGCCGGCCCAGGCTTAGTCCGGACATGCCCAGGCCCGCCAGGCCAGTGTGTGGGAGTGCGCGTGGAAGTGTGGGGTGGCCTGGGAGACAGGCTAGACTGTGGGGGATGGTGGCCGTGGGGGAGGACATGAGGCCCAGGTCTGCCCCCAGCACTCAGGGAAGTGCCCCCCAGAGCAGCCCCTCTGGAGACCGTGTCCCGTGGCACCCGCTAGCTTTCAGGCAGACGCTGCCAGGGCCCAGTGGGCAGACGGGGTGTGGGAAGCCCGGGGGTGGGGAGGTGCTGGGAAGAGCCGCAGTCCCACAGGACTGGACATCCGGCTGGGCCCCACGGGGCGGATTGATGGGGCTATCAGAGGGGGCTCCTGAGCCCCGGGCCACAGCTGGGCCGCAGGGTACTCCGAGGGGATGCAGCCTCCCCCTTGGAGAGGAGCGGGGCCCCGGCCCTGCCCAGGCCAAGTGCACAGGCCTTGGGTCAGCGCTCCTGTCCTGTCCCAAGGCCCCCAGCACCTGACCCTGTCCTCGTGAGCAGCAGGACGCCCTCCCCAGGGGACCGTGCCCTCCCTCCCCAGGTCAGAAGGACACGCGGCCCGGGGACAGGTTCCAGCTCACCTTCCCGCTGCGCACCAACTACATGTACGCCAAGGTGCGGAAGAGCCTGCCCGAGATGTATGCCTTCAGCGTCTGCATGTGGCTCAAGTCCAGCGCTGCCCCGGGCGTGGGCACCCCCTTCTCCTACGCCGTGCCCGGCCAGGCCAACGAGCTGGTGCTCATCGAGTGGGGCAACAACCCCATGGAGATCCTCATCAACGACAAGGTAGCCGACCCCTCCCGGGCTCCTGGCCAGCGCCCTGAACGCCGCCCCTCCCCCCACAGCCTCGCCCAGCCCGGCTACTGCCTGCCTGCGGCCCGGCCCAGTGCTCTGGGGGAGAAGGTGCCAGTGTCCTGGGCCCCGGGGAGGCAGTTCAGCTGATCCGTCCTTGGAGCGGCCATGGCCGCCAGCTCCCAGACACCATCCCAGGAGGATCCGGCCCCTTGTCCGAGCCCTGGGGAGGGAGACCGGAGGCTGTGCTGCTTCCGCTGCTGTGCTGCCCACCCGCTGGTCGGCCACAGGCTGGTCACAGGAGTGGGGGTGAGCGATGGCCTGGGGAACGGCTCGGGAGGCCACGCGCCCTGGACGGCAGCACAGGCGCTGACCGGGAGACTCGGGGCTGGGAGCTGGTGGCGACCCTCAAGTGTGCCCTGCTGCTTCCCTCTGCCAGGTGGCCAAGCTGCCCTTCGTGATCAATGACGGCAAGTGGCACCACATCTGCGTGAGCTGGACCACGCGGGACGGGGTATGGGAGGCCTACCAGGATGGTACTCAGGGCGGCAGCGGCGAGAACCTGGCCCCCTACCACCCCATCAAACCCCAGGGTGTGCTGGTGCTGGGCCAGGAGCAGGTGAGTGGTGAGGGGGCTGCTGGGAGAACCCAGAGCCCACCCAGGGCCAGGGCCAGGAGGCGAGCGCTGCTTCCAGCTGCTGCTCCCTGTGCGGGGTGCTGGCCCCACCCTGGTCCCCGGGGCCTTCCCGGACAGGCTCCTTGGGGGCGGCCCCAGTGGCAGCCCACGTCTTGGGTTCCCTGGTGCTTGCTGAGAAACCGGCGAGGAGAGAGGGTCCCCGGGGCCCACCTCCACCCTCCTTCGCTCTCCGCAGGACACGCTGGGCGGCGGGTTTGATGCCACCCAAGCGTTTGTGGGCGAGCTGGCCCACTTCAACATCTGGGACCGCAAGCTGAGCCCCGGGGAGGTGTACAACCTGGCCACCTGCAGCACCAAGGCCCCCCCGGGCAACGTCATCGCCTGGGCCGAGAGCCAGATCGAGATCTACGGCGGGGCCACCAAGTGGACATTCGAAGCCTGTCGCCAGATCAACTGAGCCCGGCTAGCCCCCGCCCACCCCTGCTTGTGCGGTGATGACCATCCGTCCAGTTTCCTGTCCTCCCCGCCTGGCGTCCCCCCTGCACGCTAGGCAGGCCTGCCTCCCACCTGCCCTCGGACCCCGTCTCAGGCATGTGTGATCCCAGCTAACGCCAGCAGCCGCGACTCTGAGAGCCAGGGGAAGCCAGTGAGAAGGTGCAAGCGCGTGGGTGCATGCGTTTGTGTGTGGTGTGTTTGTGTGTGTGCATGTGTATTTGTATGTGTGCGCATGTGTGTGTTGTGTACACGCGCGTATGTATTTGTGTGTGCGTGTGTGCTTTGCGTGTCAGCAGCAGTGTGGGGGAGGGTCCTCCTCTGGAGCAAGGTATTTCCTTCCATCCTCCTGGGGGCTTTGGGGAGACCCTTTTCAAAGCACCCGCTCTGAAGGTCAGTCTCCAGACCCCGGCCTCAGGGTGCCCCAGAGCCCACCCAGGACCCTGCTGGCACTCAGCCCCCTCAGTAGGAGACTCCGTCCCTCCCTCCAGCTGCTGTCCACAGCCCTGATTTTGTGGCCGTGAGGAACCAGAGGGACTTTGTGGACAGAGACCTGGGCCCGCGCCTGATGGTCACTCCTCATGTGGACTCCAGGGGAGGAGGTGGGCACAGGCAGAAGAGCAGCCTGGAGACACGCCGTGTCCAGAGCCCAGCTCGTCCTCACAGTGTACGGCTGTGCTAGTTTCCACCAGCCCCGGAAGAAGGGAAGTAAGCATGTGTGTACGAGTGTGTGCGTGCATGTGTGTGCGTGCCTGTGCATGTGTGTCCATTCATGTGTGTGCATGTGCGTGTGTGCATGTGTGTGTGTGTTCGTGTGTGTGCCTACGATTGTGTTCGTATGCGTGTGCATTGTGTGCATGCGTGTGCCTGTGTGTATGTATGTCTGCATGTGTGCGTGCATGTGCGTGTCTGTGCATGTGTGTGCGTGTCTGCATGTGTGTGTGTGCGTGCGTGAGTGTGCATGTGTGCGTGTGTGAGTGTGCGTGTCTGCGTGTGCGTGCATGTCTGCGTGTGTGCGTGTGTGTGCGTGTCTGCGTGTGTGAGTGTGCATGCGTGTGCTACTGCCTGCTTGGTTGCACCACCTGGGGGTCGCCGCAGGCCTCCAGGGTGCCCTGGCCTGTCGCCAGGCACCTCATTAGCGGAGAGGCTGGCTCGTCTCTGGCACTCACTGAGCTCAGCCACTCCTTCCGAGGACGCAGGTGCTGCGCCGTCTGCGGGGGCACCTGTCTCTGTGTTGTCGGAAGCTCGTGCATCTGTGATCTGTGATCTGTGATCTGTGCGTCTGTCTGCTGGTGTCCCCGCAGGTGTCTGGCGGGCCCCGCCCGTCCCCCGGGTCTCTCCCAGACCGCTGTGCTCTGCTGGAGCCCTCGGGCCCGGAGGGACCCCTGTGTTTGCATGTCCCCGGGATGGCCCGTCCCTGCCCTGGTCACTGTGCCCCACCTGCATGGACCCCTCCGGTTCTGTGTTGTGTGCCGAGTACCCCTTGTTCCTGCCCCTCCGTGTCGCAGCGACGGCGGCCGCCCGGGCCCGTCCCCTGCCCACTGCCCACTGCCCGACATACCAAGACATAACTCTCAGTGTGGAGGTTGCGAAGGAGCCGAAACAGCCCGCGATTGGGCGAGAGCTTGCCCCCTTCAGCCATGTCCAAGGTTGCTGCCACGTGAGGGCACCCCTGCCCGGTGCTCTCCCAGCAGCCCCCACGACGGCGGACCCCGCGCCACCGCAGCCCCGGGCTGGGTGAGAGCGTCCGCTCGGGACCACAAGCCATTCTCTGCCCCGGCCCCAGGGTGGCAGAGCACCCAGATACCCACCTCCACCCCCCAGCCTCTCCCGGCCGTGCCCAGGGTGCGGGGACAGCAGCCGCCTGGGCCACCCCCGACACCCTCACTGTGTAACACTTGGCACTTTGCCGGCCCCAGGAACGGCAGATGCCACAGCCACAAATCTTAATCTCCGTCGTGGCCCGCGGCCCTTCCTCTGGTTGGGGCACCCGGTCCACTTAGCCCACCCTTTCTCAGGTAAAGCCATTTCTAACAGGCGGCCCGGCCGCCCAGCCCCGCGCCCACCGCGGGGCTCAGGTCCCTGGAATCGAAGCCTTCTTGCTTTTGATAATACAGTATTATTTCTCTTACTGTAGAAGAAAAAAGTTTATTACCAAACAAGAGTATTTTTATGAGAGAAAAGGACAAACCTACAAATTAATTCCGCCTCTATCCCCGCCCCAGACACTTTCAGCCCCGCCAAAACACAGGCCTGAGCGTGGGTTCGAGGAGAGGAGCGTTTTGTACGCCGACCCTTCCTTTTCTACACTCCCACTTAGTTTTCTAAGACTGCGAAGATCGCGCGTCACCAGCCCCAGTCGGGGACGGGCCGCCCAGGGAGGCCGAGGCTGGTGCGAGGGTCTCGCCGCCTCTTGGGTGTGTGTGGGGGGAGCGGGAGGGCCGGGAGCCCCAGGGAGCACAGCCCGACACTCACGTCCCGATCTGTCTCACTTGCCAAAACCCAAGTCCCCTCGCGGTCGACGCGGCTGGTGTTGTCCCGTGTACATACTGTACTATAGAGAGAATCGGTGTATCTTACTTTTTCATGATCCGCTGACCAAAGCTGTACATTTTCATATGACCTGCCACCTCCGGCTGTCCGGCGGGTCAGCACCGCCAGCAGCGACACCGGAAGCGCTCGGTTCGTTCCCACGGGACTCCGGCTCTCTTCTTTTTCCTCATTTTCTTGCTGAAACGACATGAATCGTTGAGTTTATTTTTACACAGTAAAGAGTGAAGAAAGACGGTGGCTCTGGGTGACTTCCTACAGCTGAGTGCGGCGTCACCTCCCCTCCCCCCCCCCCCCCCCCGCTGGCTCTGGGACAGGGTGGGGGGTGCTGAGACATGACGAGGCCCTGCCAGTGGCCCTCTGCCCCCCACTGACACTCGCTTGTTCTAGCTGGACCCCTGCCCTGTTGACTGTGCCCACACTCGCTGGCCAGCCTGCTGCCTCTGGGTCCGTCCTGCACCCCGGGGTGAGTCAGTCCAGTCTCAGTCATAGGGTGGGGTGACCCCTCAGGATGGGTCCCTAGCTTCCAGCCACCCTCCCCAGGAGTGACCCCGGTGGCCTGCTGGTGAGTGGTCCCGGACGTGCCTGGGGGGCTCGCTGGCCTCCTGAGAGGCACCTGTGCCCGCCCCACCCGCCTGCGAGACTTCACTGCACTCATGGCCTCTGCAAAGTACGTGTCCCTGGCATGCAGGCGGGAGTGGGCAGGAGAGGCCTAAGTCTGGGCACTGCCAGGGGTGGGAGCTTCCCAGTGTGGGCCTTGCCTGGGGCTCCCAGCAATGGCCGCCAGCCCCCAGCCCTTGGGGGAGACGCACATTCCGGGCCATGGGCTTCAGGCGTGGGGGGTGTCTGACCTGGGTTCCCACAGCCGGGCTGAGTGGAAGCAGGATGCTGACTCCCCGGGCAGGCCTGCCCTGAGCTGTCCTCGGCCGTGAGGGGCCAGTGGGGCCCTAAGGGCCTGCCAGGGTCCTTGCCCAGAGGCGAGCTATGGGCTGCTGTCCAGGGAGGAGTCCCAGAAATGGGCAGCTCACAGGCTGCTGGGCAGAGGACGCATGTCCCGAAGCTGCTTTGACCTCGGCTGCCCTGGGCCGGGACGGCTCAACTGTTGGCCCCCAGGGAGGGAGGCCCGGGGATGCTCCGTGCTCCAAGCTTCCCCTCAGGTGCACTCAGCTCCCTGGAGCGGGAGCTGAGCCAAGGACAGCCGTGGGGCAGTCCTGAAGGTTCCAGAACATTCTGGAAGGGTTGTGGGTCTAAGCTTTAGAACCTGAAGCTTTTGGTTTGTTTTTGTTTCTTTTTGTTTGGGGACCACCCTGGGCTCGAGTTTATCCTGTCTCTACACTTGGGGACTTGGGGAACTGTGTGGGGCCTGGAATGGAGCTGGACCAGCACCCTCCCGTTCTGTTGTCACTCCAGCCCCGAACCAGGGAGCGGCTGGGAGAATCCTGGCTCGGGCATGGCCGCCTCCCCCCGGGGTGGGCCCAGCAGCTACCTGAGCCCCCAGAAGAGCTGGTTCCATCATCCTGGCCTCAGGCACACTCGCCTTAGGCGAGTCCAGCTAGCCACCGGACAGGGGAGGGGGCAGGGGGCACCGACTACCCAGTGCCACGCCTGCACCAGCGAGCGACAGGTTCTTTGCGCCCTGCTGAATCCTGTGCCATGCTCGGCACAAATGCAGGTTTGCACGGGAGGGGACATGCCGAGACCCCAGTGTCTAGGGGAGCCAGCCATGATCACCAGCACCGGTCACTGCGACGTGGGGGGTTCTAAGCCATGGCTCCCCGGCGACCGGCCCCTGCCCTCACACTCAGGGGCCCCTTTGTCCTTCCTCACATGTCCAGGCCATGCCCCTGACCTTTCACTCCTATTCCATCCCCTGGCTGAACCTGAGGCTGACCTTTCTAGAAGCATCTCAGCCTCATCGAGGTCAGGGCACACCTAGGTCCTGGGGGTCCCCATGTCTGAGCACTGAGTCCACCCCACTGCCCTTACAAGGACAGTCTGGGAGAGGCCCGGGAAGGCTTGGAAAGGAGGCAGTGGCAAAGGAGAAAGAACTATGTCCTTGGAAAGCCATCAGGGGCTGGAGCCATGCATAGCAGAAGACGTGTGCCTTGCACGTGGCTGACCCAGGTTCGATCCCCTTATCTTTTCCAGTCGCCTGAACACCATCTGGATACCCTGAGCACTGCTGGCATGACCCAAAATCAAAACAAAAGAATCCCCCACCCATCTACTCAACTATTCTTACACCTACTCACCCATCCACCCCCCCACGCCCACCCCTCCATCCACCCACCCACCTTCCCATTCATCCATCCACCCCCGACCCCCCATCCACTCAATCATCCATCCTCATATCCATCACCCATCTGTCCATCTACCCCTCCAGCATCCATCCACCCATACCCACCCACACATCTGTCCACGCACCCCCTACCCACTCAGCTCTCCGTCCTTCCGTGCCTCCCTCATCCATCCCTCCACTCGCTGATCCATCATGCGTCACTCATTCACTCATTGCTCATCACTGGTCTGTTCGTCCAGACAGACACCCTGAGGAACCAGCACCAGTGAACAGCAGGCTCAGGCCTGGGGTCCCCTACCGAGGCTCCACTCCAG